AAGATGCCTGCTTGTAAATGCTCAGCTGCGCCCTTCTCGGTGCACACTATCTACCTTGAACTTCCGCCTTGCTGGCTTTTCATCCCCAGAAACAAATTCCTGGAATATCTAGGAGCATGACAAATCTGCTCTCCCTCGCCAGATGTATCCTGGTACTGCTAACCCCAAATTCATGACTCAGTCTACTTGGGGGGGGGGAGGAAAGGAGCTCAAAGATGAGTGTGAGCAAACCACAACTTTTCAGCAGAGCTATCTGCGGTTTTTTACAGAGGTTTCAACAATCCATGTCGATGAAAATGTTATGATGAATTCACAGGCAGGAACATCGAGGCACCTGCCGGCATACTTGGAATTCACAGAACAATTTTTTTATGGCTTTTATGGCTTTGTTTCATCAGATCCATGAAAAGCTATCCAGCTGTTGGGCAACTCAGATCACACACATCTGTGACCTCTTAAGATGCTCGGGAGTGGGAACGGAGAATAAAGGACTGCTCCCGAGAATTGGAAATCAGGAGAAGAAATCTTTGCAAATGATGCCTGCCTAGCAAGACAGTACTAATGTTTACTTTGTCCCTTTGGCTCAGAGCTATGTCTAAAAGGTCCGTTATTCACACCTTCATTTTTAAAAATACTTTTTCGAAAGAAGGCAATCAGGAAACAATTATATCCAGGCGTATTTGTGCCTTGAAACATCTCTAGTCCCCTTATTTCAGTTTTCCTCTAACACATTCCTATGTGGGCGACTGTATTCTATGAATGAGAAAGGCCAAACCCTGCCAGTGATCGAGCTCTCACAGAAGGAACAGATGCCACAAGCAAACTGTTTTAACTATGTGTAATCTGCCAATCAAGGAAGGACCTTGACAGAAGGAACATTGAAACCTCAAGGTCCCTTGACACTACTTACGCTGAGAAATCACTTGAAATCCTCCAGATTGGCACATCTGCCCCAATAGGCAAGAAAGGCCCTCCTCTCATAGCTCTCCTTTACGGCAAAGGGTTTGACTTAATGTGCCATGTTGGACTCGCGTAAATGGGGGGAAAGGAACAGACGATTACATACAAGCAGGGAAGGGAAGGGAAGGGTCGCAGGAACTGGCTTGGAAATGATGAGAAGTGAACCACTCTTGCACGTGAGGAACCTTGGAGCTTTAGCATATTTTGCCATTGCCAGCTGCCGGCCAAGTATTCTTCCAAAAATCTAAGGACTCAAACCAGCTGCAGGGGAGAACTCTAAAAGAACTAGGGTTGAGATTTGATCCAAATTAGTACGTGGCACTAATTCAGTCATAGGAGGAGATCTAGCAAACCTGTTTAAAACTAGCAAGGTTTTAGGATGAGCAACCATTACCTCCAGGTGAGTAAGAGGGGAGAGTCACCAGAGCGTAAGGAAGAAGAGGAGGTCTGGCACCATCAGAGGTGCAAGGTTCTGCTATTATAACTACAATCTCTGTAGTTTTAGGCTTCCTGTGGTGGTGATTTTCTGGTCTGGTCTTCCTGGCAGGGCTGGCACTTAGCATGACGCTCAGACCAGCCCCTGGAATGCACTGAAAAACGGCCATGAACTCTCCCCATAGAGGCCCTGGTGCTGTCCTACGAAGCAAGCCGCTGCCACCGAGCTGATGGTCCGTGGTCCCCCTCTGGCCCCCCATGTCGTGCTCTCCCTCCTCCACCGCCAAACCCAATGAATAGATTTGCCACTGACCTCTGGCATCAACATCCCAGCCATGTTGCTGAACAAAAAGTCATTTCCTGCGGAGTGTTTAGAGGGTAACCATGGTGACCGCAGGGCACGAAGGCCTGCAAAAATCCCGGGCGTCAAATGCCTACACGCAAAAGCCATTATTTGTCGTACGGGGCCTCATCTGTCAACACGCGTGCTGTTAATCAACGTTTGGAGGCCGAGGGGCTTGGTCCTATAGAGGCTGGTTGCTTTTGGGGGAGGCTGGCAATCGGATCGCTTATCGGGCAGGGAGAAAGAGGAGCTGCGGCACACGTCAACGGGTTCGATCCTGGTGCGGCCCAAATCGGGAATCTGAGGGGAACCCGCCAGACGCCTCTCTTGCGGGCTATCCAAAAAAGGGCGAGAGGGCTTTTGGGCAGCTCTTGGACAGCCCTTGCCCATGACTCAAAGCGCTCACCGATCTTAGTCCAGAGATAAAGGGGAGAAGGCCAGATCCGAGGAGGCCGCTGTGTTAGAGATGTGTGTAAGGTGGGAGGTAATGCATCACGGGGGGTACCCCTGGCATTTTTATCTATTTCCTTCCATTGCCAACTTAAAACAACCACAGCTCTGTTAAGCCTATTTTAGGGCTTACGTGATTGTTTTAGAGGGTGCCCTTTCCAAAGGGCAGAACACTCTCTTGCTGGTTTTCAGCAAATGTAGCTGGGTATTGCTTACTCTGCTGAAACTGAACTGGGTAGGCAGGTATTTATGCTAATTAATGCAGGAAATCTTGCACAGGCAAAATTTGCAGGCGTTTTTTTTTTAAACATCCACATTTCCATCCTTGTTGCTCGAGTCAGAAGGCTCTCTGGAACCGGGCTGGGAGGAAAATCAGCTGAACCCTTTTGGTCAAAGGGCCACTAATGGCACAGCATAAAGGCAGCTCTTTTTAGGATCTGAAGAAACGTAAGATTTATTCTGTTTATTCATTCAGGGCCAGGGATTGGAAGGGAGGGAAAGGGAGACTGAGCAGGATTAACACAAAAAGAGCCGAGGACTTCAAAATACGCACCTCTGACTACTGAGCTTTGCGCATATTTTTTTACGCCTTCAGATGCCCAAGCGGACTTGAAGAGGACTTCAACTTCCAAAACTCTCCAGCCAACATGGCCATCGCTGAGAATTCTGGGAGTTGAAGTCCAACCATCAGGAAGACACCCAGGTTAGGGGAGAAGTATCCATGTTCTTGGGCTGCAATTCCCTTGATCCCACGATTGTGGGGTGATGAGAATTACAGATCAGGATGCCTGGCAAAATGTTTGTGGTCTCGGGAGAGGGCCAGACCCACCAGGGGAGACAAGGATTTAAATGTGGGAGGTCAGAAAACGTGACGGGCTGCATTCACTCATCCATACAGAAGCAGGGGACCCGCATTCCTTCTCCCCTGCAAGACTTACAAAGTATTTCCATTTTATTTCGCTTTCTAAACCAAC